TTTTCGTGGGTTTGGTGGCCACTTTCTGTCTTTGGAGAAACAGTAATTTATTCTCTTTTCCTTTTTTAAAGGATAAAACCAGGTTGCTTTTTTTAATATTTATTTTTATGTGCACTGATGTCTATGGGAGGGTGTCAGATCCCCTGGAACTGGAGTTACAAACAGTTGTGAGCTGCCTTGTGGGTGCTGGGAATTGAACACAGGTCCTCTGAGAAAGTAGCCAATCACTGAGCCATCTCTCCAGCCCCAGGTTGCTGGTTTTAAGACTTAATTATTTTGAATGTTTTGGTTACCATCTGTGTCTGTGGTGCCAGGGACTTGAGATCCCCTGTCCTCTGGAAGAGGACTTAACTACCAAGCCATCTCTCTAGCCACGTGGCCTTTTTCTTTTCATTGTTGAGTTGTTGGAATTCCTCAAGTGTTTCAGCTTCTACACTTTATCCAATATTTTCTCTCATTTCATAGAGTGCCATTTTTAAAAATTTATTTGCACTCATATTAGGGTGTGTGTGTGTGTGTGTGTGTGTGTGTGTGTGTGTGTGTGTATGTGTGTGGCATACACTGGAACTTGCCATGGCACATGTGTAGAGGTCAGAGAACGACTTTTGGGATTTGCTCCTGTCCTTCCATCATGTAGACAGAGCACAGGTTGTCAGGCTTAGTTCAAAGCCATCTTGCCGGTGGTCCCCTAGCCCTTTGTAGTCTGTCAATCTTTGCATTTTCTGGCCATGGAACTTTTAAGTTTGGTGTGACCCTACTGGTCTATTTCCACATTTCTTCCCTGTAATTTTTTTTTTTTTTGATGGCATGTCTGAGCAGGGCACTACTGAATCCCATTCATTTTTTAAAACTTTTTATATTTTGTAGTACTGGGGATTGAACACAGGGCCTTGTGTATGCTAGGCGAGGGCTCTACCCATTGAGCTATAGCTTCAGATCCTTACTCACTTTTAAAAGGCCTTGGTCACCAGTGTCTGGTTCCCAGCTCTATCCCCTCCGGGTAAAGAAAAGCCTGACCTGTCTATGGTGATATGGGGGCTTTGAGACAGGGTCTCAACAAGTCACCCAGGCTGGCTTGGAACTCATTATGTAACCCCCCGAACCTATCTCACAATTCTCCTACCCCAGCGCCCAGACTGTTAGGATTACAGGCCTGCAGGACCACACCCAGGTGGCAGAGCCTTGACTCTGAATATTCCCCGAACTCTGAATGGAAGCTGTGCTTGGCCACAGGCCTGCAGGATGCTTGTTCAATGACCAAGTCCTCCATAAATGCGGGCGTTTGACAAGGGTTGATTTAGAGTTTACACCTGACGGTCCCTCCATAGTGCCTCAAGCTTCTTCTCCTGAGAACTGAGAAGGGACAGTGAGGATTCCAGGAGAGAAGCCATCTACCATCCCATAATACGGCACATAATGAGGGATGAGTTGAAACTGTTTTGATGCCCCCAGAGGGCTTTGCACTAGAGTAGGGACTTGAGAACCTTTTTTTTTTTTTCATTGGAAGAAACCTTGGAGGGAGCATGAACTTTTAAAGGCTTTTAAAGGATGCTGTGGACAGCCAGAGCCAGGTGAAGGAGCTCTGGGTTCCATTTACACGCTCTCTGTCGCAGCCGGAGGCGTGTTTGGGGGGTTACTTCCTAAGAGGAGGAGGAGAATGGAACCCTCACTCCCACGTATCAATAAACTCAGGAATATGGAAAGATGATCAGGGTCCATGGCTTCCCACTACAGGATTGGGGGGGGGCGTTTTTTGGCTTTGTCAGACACTCACAGAGTTCCCAAAACCTCTGGGCTGGTCCTCCTCGTACTTTTGTGTGAAATCTTGCCTTAGCAAGAACCTACGAGTCACATCTGTCATATCTGGTCACCTCCCCTGTCTCACCTGGTATGTTTCAACACCTGCCCTGTGTTCAGAGAGACCGCTGGGTCAGAGTCCAGAGAATCCAGCTGCTTCTTGGTGTTTCCACCGGGCCATTTTCTATCTATAGGCCTGCATCTGGATTCTTGCTTATAAAACCCCAATTTGCCCGTATTGTGTTTGGAGTTAGCTGCATCTTCACCCCTAGACCCCATAAACAAACAAAACAAAACAAAACAAAAACAAAAACAAACAAACAAAAACAGGGCCAGTGAGAAGTTCAGCTGGGTAAAAGTGTTTGTGGCTAAGCATGAAGACTTAGTTTGATCCTCAGGACTGGTCATTCCTTCCATCATAGAAAGGAGAGAAAAGACTCCTGGAAGTTTGTACTTTGACAGCCTCAGGAGTCCACCACTCCCCTTCACACAAAATAAATAAGTTCATGTAAATTTTTTAAAACTCCATTATTAAGGTCCTTGTATCTACCGGGACAGTCCTCAATAAATTTATTTCTTACAGTGTTTTTAACATTTCAATGTGTGTGTGTGTGTGTGTATGTTTTGTTGTTGTTTTTGTTTAACAGTATTGAAAATGTTTTTTTTTTCTTTGCTTCTCTTCCCTAGCCAGACAGCAGCATTCCCTAGACCCTCTTGGTGTAGAAATATGGTTCTTGGGTGGCAGGCGGAAGGACTCAGCTCCCCCTTGCCATCTGCTGGGTTCAGGGAAATGAGCTGTCTTCCTGGCCCTTATTGGGGCCTCCAGCCTGCAGCTGGAGGGATTAAGGAAAAGCTCCTGGCGTCCCTGAGTCTGGAGTGGCTGCCCTGGAGAGCCCAGGAGAGGCCACTGGGCCAGAGGGCTGGAGGCTCCCAAATCAATCAGAGGTCTGAATGGTGACCTTTGAATCAGGATCTTGGTAACTCTGGAGACTTGTACACCCTCCAAGGGGGTGGGGGAGAAAGGCAGATGTTTGAACACAGTTCCTGTCCCGGAGAGGTGCTTCCCAACACCTTAAAAGAAGAGATCTCTCGGCTCTTGCTCTTGTCTCCCCAGTTCTGTGGTTTGCCCCGCCCCCCCAACCCCCAGAGAAACTTTTAGCATCCAGCAGACAGCTCCCTTTCTGAAAGCAGCTAGCAGCTTCAGGTAGGGAAAGCCTCAAATTGCTGGCAGTTGCTTAGGAGACTTAGCTATTTATCAGATAACCAGGGACATATGGCAGGGCCAACAGACAACATGGCTGAGCAGGGAAGGTGTTTGCCCTCAAGCCTGATTACCTGATTTCAAGCCCCAGGAACTGCTGAAGGAGGTTAGAGGACAATGGTCAGAAGTCAGTTCTTTTCCACCATGAGAGTCCTGGGGATTCTCTGGTCCTCAGGTCCCTCAGGTCCTCAGGCCCTGCCACAAAGCTGGGGCAACAAGTGCTTTTACTCACTGGCTTGATTTGATTCCTTTATCTTTGCTGTAGTGGTTTCGTTTTTGGTTTGTTTTTGGAAATAGCATCTAGAGGAGAGACTCCTGAAGTCGAAGGATGTCCTTCAACTGTCTCAGAAGTTCCCTGGCGTGTGCCCCCGCACACACACACACACACACACTTGATATACAAATGCAATTTTTAAAAACATCAAGGAATATACTGGAAATAATGTTTTCCATTGTCCTGAACTTTTCCTTCCATGAGGAGAAGCAGCTGCTACCACTTTTGACTGAAAGGCTGTTGTTTCACCAGTCAAGACTCAATAGCTTGTTCAGTTCGCTGCCAATCAGTTGCTTCTCTGCTGATTTAGACCCACTAACATTAGTGTACTGCCCAAGGTGAAATGGAGGTGACGTCATAAGGGACAGACAAGCTACAATAAGATCATTTATACTGTACATTCTAATATGTTGATACTGCGCTGGCAAGATGGTCGGTTGGTAAAAGTGTTCACCCTGCCAGGAACTTCTCACCAACTGTATGAGTCAATAGACAACATCCTGGCTCTTCCAAGCCAAATGTTTCGTCTACATCCGGGACCTTCCAACAGCACCTTGCTAGGCAAGAACTTCCTTGGCTCCTCTGAGGTCCATTCTGTGCTCAAGGGTATTGTGCTATTGCACACATGTGTGTGTGTGTGTGTGTGTGTGTGTGTGTGTGTGTGTGTTGACTTGGTTGAGGAAGAAGACACAAGAAAACAGGCGCAGGGATAAATCCTCATTTGCAACCCGGAACCCACTGTTCAGTGTGAGTTTGGATACACTTGGAGAAGTATTTTCCCCATAAAGAAAAATAGTTACGTTAATTGCAGGAAAGTGGTGCCTCTTAGAAAGAGTAATTTTTTTTTCAACTTAGTTTTTAATTAGTATACAAAACATTAGGTTTCATTATGGATTTTTTTCAAACAAAATTTGTTTTTATGAATTCTCTGCCCCAGCTCTTCTCCCTGCCCCACCCCCTACCTTCCCTTCCACACCGACTTCCTCAACTCCTCCTTTTCCCCTATCCTGGTCTCTCTCTCCTAATCCTATAGCCTATGCCCACGTTCACACCCCTGTGTACACAGGTAACCATTGCAAGCCAGCATCCGTATACGGGATGAACGGGAGACAGTCATGTTAAGCAAGTCAAGCCAAGCTCAGAAAGGCTGGTGTTCTTTCTCTCACGCACAGTCCCTGGATTTTACATAGATACCTAAAAACCATGTCTGTACATATAACATGAAAGCAAAGTGAAGCTATGGGGACAAAAGGGACAGTCCAGTGGGGTGAGGGAAGGGTGTGGGGCAATGCGATCACCTTACACTATAAACTTGCATGAAAAAAAAAATTAAAGAAAATTGAAATAGCAGAAATAGCCACAGAAGACCACTGAGCTCTTGAGAGCAGGGGCCATGCCAACATACATTTCCTTAATGTTGGTTGAAAAGTCTTTTTCCCTCCTAGGCCTGTCCTGCCTGAGAGCCATTACCACCGCAAACCTACTTAAATCGGAATTTTAAAATTCCAGTTATTTGTTTACGTATCCGTGTGCCTCGCCTACGTACATGCAGGCATGCTCTTTTAGGAGTCTGTTTTCTCCTTCCACCATGTAGACCTCAGGGACCAAATTCAGGTCCTTGGGCTTGGTGAGAATAAAGTGCCTTTGATCTCTTAGCTGGCTCACTGTTCCCTGTTTCCATATTTATGATGCTGGGTGGTTTTTTTTTTTTTTTTTTTTTTTTTTTGGTTTATTGATTCGCATAAGTTACTCTATAATACTGAGAGTGGTAATTTGTAAAATTCCATGTCAAGTGTCCAGGAAAGACAGAAATAATATTACATGGGAAAGTGAAAGACTTAAAGACAAACCCGTCTCAAAATACTACGCCACGTTGGCTGTCTGGCTGCCTCAGGCTGAAACTGAAAGAGGAGCCCTGGCCACAGGAAGGGCCATTCAGCCTGCCTCTCCCGGGAGCAGCAGGCCATAAAGATCCTTTCACACACCAAGGCTGAGAGGGAGCCTTGATCACCACAGGCCAGTGACTGGGGCTGCCCAGAACCTGTGTAAACAGCCTGAAGTAGCCCTTATCTCCCCCCAGCCTGACGGCCGCATATATCTCCTAGCGACAGCCTGGAGCTGACCCCCCCCCCCCCACAGTCAGAGACCCATCTGTCTTGCCGTTCCTTCTCAAACATATTACTCTTTGTGTGAAGTGTGTAAAGGCGCCCTGCTTGGAGCGTCATATGCTCATGAAAACCCCCATGGATGTGTAAAATTAATGAGGGCTTAATGCTTTTCTTCTCCTACTTAGCTCTTGTATTAATTGGGTCCCTAGATTCAACCAAACAGCCAGGTGAAACTTTCTGTTTCTCTGTCTCTCTGCCGCTCCATCTCTCTGTCTCTGTCTGTCTGTCTGTCTCTTACACACATCTCTCTCTTACACACACACATACACACACACACATACAACAGTGATGCAGACATGTGTGAGCATAACCCCCCCCCCAAACTAGGTGAATGGATGACTTCATTGGGTTGATTTACAGGAGAAGAGGGATTATTTGCAGGAGCGTTGTATGACTCGCCCCAATAGCTGTCTCAATGTGAAAGTATCACCCCAGTTTCCCCCTCGCTTCACAGATAGCACCCTTTCAGGTCATCTTTACTCTGTGTGCTCCTCCCAAGGTGCCCAAGACCATGTTTCATCCGGGGCAGACTGTGGTGTAGCTTTCAGGGAGGTGGGGGGCAGAAAGAGCGTCTGATGACCCTTTTTTTCTTTTTTTCTTTTTTTTTTTTTTTTGTTTTTTACACAACCTCTCTATCTTTTTGAGGGAGCAGTCAACAGGCTCCCACGTTAAAGGTCTCTTCTTGCAGACAGTCAAGGCTGCTCCGATGAAGGTGGTAATAATGGCTGCTATATCCGAAGGACCACAATCCTAAACCAAGAAACAGAGTGAGAATCCCCACTCCTATCTTTATTTTTTAACTCAAGGAGTGAAAGCCTTTCAGATAGGTCCACCACAGGGATAAAAGGAAATGGGCTTTTCGGTCTGAGGCTGGGAGCCGTGGGTGCAGTATTCAAAGTCCATTACAATGCTACTTTTTGTTTTTGATTTTGTTTTGAGACATGGTCTCCTGTAGCCCAGGATGGCCTCAAACTCACAAGGTAGCCAGGGGAAGCTTTGAACTCCTGCCCTTCTTGCCCCTCCCCTCCCAGTGGTGGGATTTCAGACGTGCGTGACGCACTCCCAGTTCACACGGTGCCGGGAATCGAACCCAGAGCTTCCAGTGTGCTGGGTTAACACTCTACCAAGGGAGTTACATCCCCATCCCATTTGTCCTCTGCTTTTTTTTTTTTTTTCTTTCTTTCTTCAGTTGAACTCAGTTAGGATCTCCTCAACTTGCAGCAGGGTGACCCCGTCCAGCTTTACTGTCTGTGCTGGTTAGTGCTAACGTGAGGAACAGTCCGGATCAGGTAGGCCGCTGGACCTGTCCGTGGACAGCTGCCTTGCTCGCCTTCACTCATGAAGACTCACCCTAAAAGTGGGCGGCACCACGTTCGGGTCCTGGGCTGTATAGGAATACCAGCTTGCAGGCATTGACTCGATGGGTGTCATGTGACCAGCTGTTCCCAGTTCCCGCCTCACTGGCTTCCCTACTATGATGGATTGTGGCCTGGGGTTGTTGTGAGCCAAGCTGAAGGCTTTCTCCTCAAAATTGCTTTTGTCAGAGTATTTCATCATAGCCACAGAAACTAAAGTGAAAACACGGCCCTGTTAGAACTTAGAGCCGACAGCCTGCTTCCACCACAGGCCCCTAGCGAGAGTGCTCTCTGAGGAGCTGACAGATTTCCATCTGCCCGCATCTTTTGCCTGGGGAAGTAAGTTCACATCAAAGAGGGTATAGGGATATCGCTGATCATGCATCCTACCCCTCACTACTCTTTGACCTCCTGCTAGGACATTCAGGAACCCTGGCTTTAAAACCCCAACCTGTTCCTCAGAAGGGACTGCCCTGCCTCCCACCAACTCTGCCACATGGGCCTGGTTTCCTCTTCAGAGCTGCCACTAAGGCCCTGGGGCCCAAATCTTCTCAGTTACCCCCCCCCTCCCATGCTGTCGTCTATCCAGCTGTCTGCTATGTCTTCAATACCTTCTTCCAATAAACTTCTCAGCCCCTGACAGACCTCTGAAACCTCAGTGAGAGAGTAGCTGTAAGTCAGAGGTTTCAGCCCAGGTAGGGCTCTGGTGACCTTGGCTGAATCACGTGTGTGACCATCCCATTCCTAGACTGATTCGACTAAGGACTCAGCTCTGCTGAGCCCTAGGAAATGAGAGCCAGGGAAGAAACTACCTCAGAGGAAAGCCACTAAGTATTTGGCAGGAGGAGAGGCCATATGGCGTGGGTTACATCGTAGCTATTATAAGGAAGGCCTGCTGGGTATTCAGATGGCGAGCTACTCCTATCGGCTCAATTCAGACCCGTCATCGTGTTTTCCCTCTTCTCTCCGATATTTTTGGTGGCACGGCAAATATTTTCTGCCTGCCTCTTTCTATGAAACACTCAGCGAAAGTGGGAGGCGAGTAACAGCTTGTACTTATTTAGGCTTTCCAGACGCGTGGCACGCTCTTGCGTACTTTTTACATCAGCTCTCCTGCTTGGTCCTCGCCGCCCATCCTGGAACAACCTTTCCATGTTTAGTGTCATCCTCATTTCACCCACGGAGACACTGTAGAACAGAAGGTACAGAACATGCCCAAGCAACAACCGCTAGTTGCCTGCAGGGCTGGAATTGGAACGGAGGCCGGGTAGCGGCGGAGATGGCATCCTTAGCTGACACCTGTTGTGTTATGTCTCTGAAACCCGATTCGTTTCAACGGCTTTCTCATGCAGCCTGACGTCACTAGGCAGTCATGTCCCCTCACAAGTGTGTGGTGTCTCAAATGGCACCACAATCAATTTGTTCAGTAAAAAGAAAACGCTTCTTCTCAGTAATGGACGCCCCTCCCCGAGGGTGGCCATGTAGGACTCCCCATTGTAAAATAAATGGCCCCCCGTTGATGTCACGGCAGACCTCACCCTGAGGATGAAGCTTTTTTCAGTTAACACACATGGCCACTGCGTGGAAAGGCAGGGGGCCCCTGCTTGGCTTGGAGGCCTAAGGATGACAGAGTGCTCAAACCAGTTTCTACAAGGGGGAGAATTTCTTGGCTCCAGGAACTAGCTGTCAGGGAGGAGAGGGGCGTAGCTGTCCTGGGGTGATGGAATGCAGCCAGCAGCTGTCTCTCCTCCATTTGAGCCTGTACACTGGCAGGGCACTGTCACGAAAAGCTTCCCCATGACATCAGAGAGGTACTATTCTCAGGCCATCTCTCTGTGTGGGAAGGGCTGGTTTTCCTTGCGCCTAGAAAAATGCCCCTAGCTGGCCTGCTGGGGGTCGAGCATCCCCAAGCCATGGCTAGTCACACGCACAGAGTATTAGGCTGACCCGCAGTGGGGGTACAAGTGGGAAAGAAGTCATTCCCGAAACTCCAGAAGATGGCTAGTTTCCCCAAAGACTAGACAACATAGACGGAGCACAGATATCCACTGCCTTCTAAATACCAATGCTCACGCCCATAATCAAAAAGAGGCCCTCCAGTTTCTCACAGTCAGAGTAGCCATTCCTTCCAGAAACAGCAATGAATGCAGAGACTCACAGCTGCCCAAGAGGCAGAAAGTATGAGAGTGATGTGACCCAGCCCTAGACAGGTGGCTTCTACCACCCTCTCTAATGCTCAGTGACCATGAAAGCCC